AATACACCTAATGCCGTCTGCTGGACTATGCGCGCTCATTCTTGCGTGTACATATAATTTTATTTTCACCACCTGCAAACTCACAAGGAGCTCATAAAAGGCACTTTACCTCATCGTTGCTCCACGCTTGCTCTCTGCTCATTTTGTTTTGGTTACACCGCGTCGTCAAATCATGTCGCATAGCATCGCATATTGTCATTTCTTCCTGTTTTTGGTTCGTTTAGAAGTATTTGGTCCGTGTTGCATTCATATTTCATTCGAACCGCACCAGAGTTCGTTTGGAAGCGGACCGAGACCCATCTTTTCAGCGGTCTCGGTCCACTTGTTTGGTGAGCACCAGGGTTCAGATGGCAGCGTTCACACTTACTCAAACAAACCGCACTAACAGAGCAATCGCACCAGGGTTCGTTTTAATCGAACCAAACATGACGAGTGTGAACGCACCCTTAGACTCGACGCTCACGCGGGTTGCCAGATTGAGGAAACCCGACAGGAATGAGCGCAACTGACAATAAAAGGCAACCAGTCTTACACTGTAAGTCGTTGCGTTGATTTATCCACTTTTTATAGAGCTTTTTAGATGGATGGCGAGGCTTTCTAGGTCGGGTAGAATCTGTGATCTCTGACCCAATACGTTCACTGGCATCCATGACTGCAATTCACTGCCTTTTCCGCCAACTGGCAACTCAGTGTGTTGAAATACTAATGGGTAAATTGTCAGTGGGCAGAGTCACACATACCAAAACAAAAACAGACATTCTGACACAGAACGCACATTTCAAAGCAGAATAACTGGCTGCAGCATTGTTTTTCATAGAAAGAAATATGTGAACTTAGCATGTTTCCTAAACATCTTCAAACATATTACAGTATTTTATGCTTTGGCACAGTCAAAATAATTACATACAGCAGCTTTAAAAAGCTCAACAAAAGCTTTATTCTTCACAGTTCCTCAATAATGATCCGTACAGTACAAAACAATGACAAACGTAAATGTGAAAATGACTGAACTGTTTAATCTGCTGTACTGCCGTGACTTCAACAGCATCATAACTATGAATAAACTCCTGCAGATGTTCAAACACTCATAAATCATTATACACGTGTACCGAACGCTGTCTGACATCATTCACAACTCACAAACCCCGCGGCGCAAACATCTGCAGTCCTCTTCTGCTGCGCTCGTTTCATGCGTTATTATGTTGCATGTGTGTTTAGGATTCAGAGTAATGTGTGTGCAGTTTATTATATCATCTCTAGCAGCTGATCATAAATCACTCTTTAATTACAGACAGATGCAGCAGCATTAAAGCAGGATTACTGAGCTGCTCATCCCATTATAACTCAAGCACTGGACTCAAAACTGCGTTTCTTTGAACAGACTCTGGAAACGGATTCATTCATTCACACGCCAGCGCTGCTGAGAGAGCGAGTATGATCTCTGCTCACTACAGCAAAGACACTCACAGTTTACATTAACAGTACGTAATGCATTAGCCAACAACGGAGCAATGCATTTGTTACATTATGCATCTTTCTTAATTAATCGTTAATTAATAAAAACACAGCTGTTCAATGCTCTGATTCCTCGCCATAAAACCCAAGAGAACATCTGAAAACGAGACGCAGAGACAGAAAGCGAGTCAGATCAGAGGCATTTCACTTCAGATGTCACTCTGTGATGTTCTTAAAGTAATATCACGTCAGCTGATGTGATTAATAATGCATACAGATTTATGCTTTATACGTTAGTTCGCCCTGTACGTTCACTGTTTATGTAACTGTTGTTTTATTGTTTTTAATTCGTACAGTAAGACAACTGCAAATGGTTCAACAATGACTTTGTTCAGCGGCTCATCCTCAGATCATCCAAGATGTAGATGAGAGTTTGCACATTACTTTCTTTATGTTTAAGCTGAATGTGTAAAAATAATAAACTGTCATTTCAAAATTAAACTATTGTTTTGTCTTCAAATGCTTTTTCTCAAAAACTGAGCTCAGATCAGTGAGACCTGTGCTCAATCAGTTCAGCAAAGAAACACTAAACCTGTGCTAACGGAGTTGACAAAAAGACTGAATCCAAGATTTGGTGATAACAAGAGATTTACAAGAAGGCCGCTCATTTTTGACCTGAACACCTCTTTAGGGAAAGGACTTCCAGCAGCTCAAGGGTTAATATAGAGTTGCACAGAAGCAGATAAAGTGAATGAGTGCCTCTAAAGTCAGACAGAAGCTCAGACTCTGCATTCTGTGATTAGGATGAAAAACATAACATTCAGCACTTACACAATCCAACACTCGACATTAATGAATCAAAACCCAACATGTTATTTCAACTAACCTGAAATATGATTCATGTAGTAACATCTAAATGACTGAACCTGAGCTAGGGCTAGGTACAAGATAATCGAGATAAAAAAATACATATAATATATATTAATATATTTTATATAGCTTTTTAAATGTGTGTGTATATATAGTACTGTGCAGAAGTCTTCGGTCGTTAGTATTTTCACCAACAAATAAATGGTTGTAAGTCAGTTATTTCTATCTTTTGCTGTAGTGTGTCAGGAGGAAATATCAGTTCACATTTCCAAACATTCCTTTTGCCATTAATTGTAATAATGCAGTGAGATTACTGTCTGACAGCAGCCAGTGCTGCACACAGAGATCTGATCTGATCATCATCAGTCCGTCTGATTACATGAAGAAACAGAAGAAACTGAGACAGACTCAATCCAGAAGAACTGCATGTAACAATGAAGACTGGAGTAATGGCTGCTGAAAATGTAACTTTTACATCACAGGAATAAATTACATTTTCAAATGTATTAAATATATTATTTATATTTAATATATACAATATATTAAAATAGAAAACAGTTGTTTTAAATTGTAATGTTTCACAATGCTACTGTTTTTACTGTATTTTATAAATGCAGCCTTTGGAGAGCATAAGAAACTCCTTAAAAAAAGCCATGTACCTTTGAAAAGTACTGCATTTTGTTAGAACTTATCACAATTTTTGTAAGGTAATAAAAAACAACAACTCTGAGTAACACTGAGTTAAGACTGCAAGTCAAACAATAAAACGCAGACATAAATGCAATAGTAAGATTAGTCTTAACCATAATACTGGTAAAGCGACAATGGTAAAGTGACTCTGGCAGAGAGCGAAATTAACACATCTTCTCAAATTGATCTTGAATTAACAAGGTTGGTGGCATGGCTGGTCTTGCCATAGAGTAAAGGTGTAAAACCCCTCGGGTAGAGGC